GGTACAGAAGGGCTCTTTATTGTTTTACAACTAGTCATTATAAAATGTCAAGTTGTCTTACTATCATTTACTAAAGAATACATCTGCATCTCTTTCTCATCTTTATCATATAATAATATCCTATATATTTTAGAGTCCTATTCCACTAATTTATCTATAATTTTTAAAAGAATAATATATATATGTTCTATAGGAAAAGTACATCCATTTCTCTACTTTTTCAGTAATTTCTTGAGTATTCTTATCCCTTTACTCCTCTGATCACTTTTATATCAAATTTTCAGGTTCAAAAACAAAGCAACCACCTTTTTAATCCCTAATGGGATTTTGATACTGTGACTATATTAATAAATAAATTTTGGGAGGCCAACTTTATAATTTTTAGTTGATTCTCTTGGATTTCTAAGTATAAAATCAGGTCACCTTCATAATTTTTTCCCCTCCCTTTCCAAAACTGATATATCATTTTATGAAGAATTGAACTTAGAAAATCAAGAGTCAACTAACAGTTTGTGACATAATAATAAACATTCAGTAAAAGTTGTCTATTTTCAAGTTAATTTATAAAAAGTTAAGGGAGTCTCTATATTTGGTTCTCAAAATCGGTCTTTTCCTAGCCTTACAACATTGGTTAGAATATTAGAATGATACTGTTAAATTTTTTTTTTTGTTTAACTTATTGTGATGGCTAGAACTTCCATGATGTTAAACAATACATATGACAGTAAGCAAAATGGGAATGTTTCTACCATTGAATCATGAAGTATAAATTTGGTTACTGACATGAAAAACTCAGGAAATTTCTACTGAATGCCTACTGTATAATGAAATATGAAAGGGCATCAGATAGTCTGACTTTGAGAGGAGGTTTAAAATATAACTAAGGAATAAGATTCCAGTTCATAGTGAAACATGTATGCTGTATGTGAAACAGGAGATTAGTAATACAGGGGTTCAAAAAAAAAAGAAGACTATCAATAACTGTTGTGGTTGTAGCAAAATATTAAAATTCTTCAATGTATAAGATCAAGTATTTGTTCTTGTTAAAACACTATTCTAATTCTTTATCAGCACACCTTGCTAGGTAGAGATTATAGTGAAGTTTTATGAATTAGAGCACCTTGATTTAGGGAGCATACAGGGGCTCCAATTTATTTTTATATAATTTTAAAAAACTGCCAAAAAAAGATCTTAGGCCGAAACCGGTTTGGCTCAGTGGATAGAGCGTCGGCTTGCGGACTGAAAGGTCCCAGGTTCGATTCTGGCCAAGGGTATGTACATGGGTTGCAGGCACATCCCCAGTGGGGAGTGTGCAGGAGGCAGCTGATCGATGTTTCTCTCTCATCGAAGTTTCTAACTATCTCTCTCCCTTCCTCTCTGTAAAAAATCAATAAAATATATTTAAAAAAAAAAGATCTTAGGGTGATATTTAAATTATTTTAGAAGATAAATTTTATGGCTTAATGAAGTTTAATCCTCAATGTTAATTGCAAGTTATTCTTTTTTTGTACAATAAAGAAAGGTCACAAAGCATTGGGCAAATAATCAATTTCTTGCCTTATATATTTAAGGATTAATTAGGATATTGCACATACATACATACATACATATACACACATAGCATATCATTTACTGTTTCCCTTATTTTTAATGAATGAGTTTATAGTCAGTTAACATATATATATATATAATGTGTATATATATATGTATATATATAATATACATATTATAAATACTTGCAAAAAGAAAAAAAAAGGAGGGGGTTTGTCTTACCAGACACAGCAAAACTATTACAATGCAATCCTATATAATAAAAGGCTAATATGCAAATAGACCAAACAACTGAACAACTGATCACTATGACGTGCGCTGAACACCAGAGGGCACGTGCGGAACATGCTGGGCGTTGGCCGTGGCAGGATGATGAGCAGAGGTGCCAGATCAAGGCGGGTCACTGGTTGCTGTCATTGGGGCTCTGGTGGTTACTGAAAATTTTTGCTCCTGCACACTGTGGTCCCGCCTGGCACTCCCACCTGCTGCTGGCACCCGGTGCTGGTCCCAATCTCTTGGCACCGTCAGCTGGTGCGAATGGCAGCTGCTGGCCCCAATCGCCCCTCAGGGCTTCTCCACCTCCCCCAGCTCCTGAGGGATGATGGGGCAGCAGCCACCACTGCACCCACTAACAGTGCCGGCCTGCTCACACCTGCTGCTGGTGCTGGCCCCAATCGCTCTGTGACAAGTGGGTGTGAGTGGGGCTGGCACCATCAGTGCATGGGAGCGGTGGCAGAGAGGGGACCAGGGGCTGTGGCAGGAGGGACTGGGAGGGGGCGTGGAGGATGGGCCGAGACCCGCCCCTGTGCCCACTGCAGCCTCGTGGCCCAGAGTGCCTTTCAAGGTGCACGAATTCATGTACTGGGCCCCTAGTTGATTTAATACCTATTTTCTGAGTTTAATATAAAGGACAGAGGTTCTTAAAGAGTGTAAAGTTTAATAGGAGATCCAAAGTACTATGTTAAGATGATAAGGATATAATAAAATCATAAAATACCTTTGGCAGCATAAATCCATGACTTAATAATAGTTATAATTAAAATTACTAACAATGGAACTAACTAAATATCCTCAATTCTACAAAATGAATACACTGACGTATTATAGAACTAGGAGATAATTCATCAAAAGGAAACCTATTAC